TCCAGCAACAGAGCAGAGTTTGGACCCTTATTGCTCCTCAGCACCTCTCCACAGGCACTGACACTTCTTCCTGGGGATCTGGGAACAAAGTGGAGCATCTGCTTGATCTTTTGTGCATCTGAGTTTACCAGAGCAGAATATCAGAGTATCTCAGATGTTTAGGTACCAAGACAAGGTTTGTCCTCCTAATGTGGTTTACCATATAGACATCTCCAGACAGTCTAGTGACTTTGTTATCCCCTTAATAGCCAATGAAGAAAAATAGACCCTTCTAGAGAACAATCTACTTCAGAATCTAAAGTATTTGTATAAAAAATGTTAGCCAAAACATGGCCTATGTCTTCTTCCCAACACTGGGATGGGTAAGTAGTTCCAACTGAATATACACTTTCCGTTCCTAGAAGCTGATCAAATGTGTTACAGGGAATGTATTACAAAGAGAAAAATCAGCTTGACAATATGAAATTCCAAGTATGAATTCACAGTTACTGTAGTGGGTTTACATAGCAAGGTTTTGGTAGCAGGGAGCCATAGAGGTGGCTTCTGTGAGAAGAATCTAGAAGCTGCCCCATGTTTGGGAAGGGCCCCACTGTTTTCCAGAGCTGAGCCAATAAGCGATGTTGTTTTGCACATCTGTGAGAGCATATTTAAGACAAGGAAAAAAACACCACACCACACAGCAGCTGGGAGAGTCAAGGGAGTGAGGAACAGCCTTGCAGGCGCCAAGGTCAGTGAAGAAGGAGGGGGAGAGGTGCTCCGGGCGCCAGAGCAGAAGTCCCCTGAGGCCTGTGGTGAGGACCATGGTGAAGCAGGATGTCCCCCTGCAGCCCATGGAGTACCACGGTGGAGCAGGGTTTCATGCTGCAGCCCGTGGAGGAGACCACGGTGGAGCAGGTGACCTGGCAGGAGCTGCTGCCCGTAGGGGAGCCAGGTTGGACCATTTTTCTCCTGAGGGATGGACCCTGTGGTATGGACCCATACCTGGAGCAGTTCTTGAGCTGCTGCCTGTGGGAAGCCCACGCCGGATCAGTTCACCAAGGACTGAATCCCGTGGGAGGGACCCCACAGCACAGGGGACGAGAGTGACGGAGAAGGAGCGGCAGAGAAGAAGTGCTACAGACTGACCATAACCCCCATCCCCCCATTCCCCTGCGCTGCTTGGGGGGAAGAGGTGGAAGATGGTGGATGGGGGGTTGGGGGGGAAGGTGCTTTTGGTTTCTTTCATTTGTTTCTCATTTCTCTAGCTTGTTAGTAATAAGTAATAAATCTTACTATCTCCCTATGCTGAGTCTGTTTTGCCTGTCACAATAATTACTGCACAATCTCCCTGTCCTTATCTCAACCCTTGAGCCTTTTTCATTATTTTTTCTCCCCATTCCTCTTTGAGGAGGGGGAGTGAGAGAGCAGTTCTGGTGGAGTTCAGCTGCCCACTCGAGTCAAACCACCACACTGATCTAACCCACAGTCTAAGATAACCTAATCAATATTTCATACACATCAGAGTAAACATGCGATAAACAGAAAGTGACTGTCTGAAACAGAGGGTTTTACGTCTTCAAAGAGGCAATGAGATATGCTCCTGAACAAATGAATAGAGTTGAAAGGAAGGAAACAAACTACATTTTGAACATAAAGATATGTTGGCATTTCTCAATTACAAAGTTTCTTATGTTCTTGTAAAAGTACAATACTTTACCCTCAAAAGAGATATTAAAGTTGAGAGGAAATAAGAGCTGAGAAATAGACACTGCTGTGTTTGAAGGGTATTCTAGCTCATCAAATGTAACCTTTGAAAGAATGGTAAAGAGAGCCTTTATGCTCATCAAGAAAAGAGCTTACATGACATTTCCCAAACCTGCTACTTACCAACAGTCCAGTCAGCTGCAGCAGTAAGTTCTGGGGTGCCCAGGAGAAGTAGAGAGAAGGGATGGCTCTTTTGTCCTGTCTCAGTCTATCACATTTTCAACTCTCACCATTACCATTTCTTTTTTTTTTCTTTTCTATTTTTTTTTTTTAATATCCATTTCACAGAGCTGAAGTAGGTTATTTTGTTACTGGCTTTAAGAAGAAGGCAATATCTGTGGAGGTGGATTTTTTGTTTTTGTTTTGGTGGTGTGTTTTTTTTGCTCCATGATACATTTAACATCATGATAAAAACTTCAGTATGTGGAATAAGACCTGAGGCACTTTTCTGAATAATAAAAATCTTTGAAGACTGGGCTAGCAAGACATATTTGGCAAGAGTGTGGAGAAGAAAAAGAGGCAGGGGCTGTTCTGGGTCTCTGTCCCCTTTTTGTAGACCCTTTCTGTTACTGTAGTGTAATACATCTTCTCTTAATGAGTAAAGAAGATCTTTGAATGAAATTCCTGAGAGGTTGTCATCAGTGTTCCAGTGCCTATGTCTCTATATTCAAGCTGATGGTGAAATTACAGTTCCTTACAGCCTATTATCTTGCTACAGGTGTTGCTCATTTCCTACTTAAGGTCTTGGCAAACTACTTCTTGCTATTTCTAATCACAGTCCCTGTACCTTTTTTGTTTCTAAATCAGCTATTCCTATTTATTTTTACTTGTTTTACCTCCAGCTCAAATTTATTATCACCCACTACCTTACCTCATGAAAACTTTACCTGATTGCCTCTTTTCTCTAATTTAAAACTCAAATGTGCACATTCATTTTTTGCTGATATACCATTTTGCCTCACTAGAGCAATATGACGGTGTTCATACATTACTAGCAGCCATATTTTTGGTTTATTTTTCCATCTTTTAAATACAGTCCTGATTTGTGTTGCTGTTGCTCCTTTAAATGTTTAAATCATGAACTTAAGGAAAAATGCTTATCTGCCAATGTGGACAGCAGAAACCTAGTGCCATAAATTCTGAGTATAACTATGAATATATATTGCTGCTGTTCTCTGTTAGTAAAAGCAGGAACACTGGGCTCCATAGAATGAATATTTCCTAAACAGTGCTCTACTTTGTGCATGTAGTAGTACTATAGTGATTTGCATGTCTTTATTTTTCCTTAGAATTAAAACATACCACTTTGTTATAGGTTTGAAGTTGCTAATGAGCTATTTATATACTACTAGAAATTATAATTTATATTTCTTAGGATACGAAAAAAATAATAATGATGATAAAGAAGCTAGAAATCTATTAAACGGGAGATGATTTACTTGAAAAACAGGTGTTAGTACAGATTCTTCAACTACAGCTGGGATCTAATTTCATATACACTTTAAAGACCAGAACTAGTAAGCAAAAGCAGAAGTAGAGATATCAAGTGGGGAGAAAAGTATTTTGCCTATATATGTAAGTATGTATGAGTATTCAATACCATGCATTTAACGCATTATCCATATTCTTGCAACGAGAGAGAGCATGGTTTGATTTTGGAATGAGAAACAGTTTTCCTAGATGCAACTTATGCTGTAATTAACAGAAGACTTGAAATGTATACATCAATACAATCAGTGACAATGGTTTGTTTACACCAACGGAAAATTTGTCCTTCATCATTCAGTGGGCTAAAAGTTCACCACTTCAGGTTATACAATGTCTTCTCTATTTTTTCAAGTAGCTATTGAAGTTTGAAGGTCAGAAAATGCTTGGCTAATGTATAGCTACCTGAGCATACTTTCTTCTGACCTTTAAGTAACTGGTGAGTATTTTAAGTGGCCACACAATTTTTAAGCCTTTCCCATGGCATTTATGCAGGAAAGAATTACTTGTTGTTTAACATTTCTGTATTTCAGACTGCCAGTACTCCAGCTATCATCGTTGCTCCAGCTCACTGATCAGACAAAGAGAGTTGGATGAGGTCTGGGGCATCAGCTGGTCTTGACTGGTTCAGTTTATGAATTTTCGTGATAATGTGTTTTAACCTTATTTCAGCAATGTCCTCAGTTTCCCAGTGTCTGTTCTTTAACTTCAGGCATGTTCATCTGTCTCAGGTGACAAATGTCTCCATTAGAACAGATTCATTTTATTTTCTCAGTCTCACTCCACATGTTTAAAAAGGTCTTGGAGATTTAGGAACTAATAGAGCTAGGCGAATACAGCAAGAAATGTCAGTGAATTATTGGTTCAATATTTTTTAATGAACTCTCTTCGTCTGTGTCCAGCAATTGTCCAATGCATGGGTTTCACAGCTGGCAGAGCTAAAGAATCAGCAATTTTAAAATGATTATTGGAGTCTAACATGAAGATTCACTTTCTATGAGATATGTACACCAGAAATCAAACTCTAACGATTTGATAGGGAATTGGAGCACTCCTGTTGGCATGAAGTTAAGGAAGTGTTGTAACTGTATTTCATCAGGTACAAGTCACCAATTTCAACATAAGAAAAACTGCCTAAAAATTGGTAATATATGCTGAACTAACTGGCCTGTACCTTTACAGATGATTCTGTCCCTCTGTCACTGCCTGTGACAGAGTTCATTTCTTTCCCTGTTGTCTCCTGTGAACAGTAGGCTCAGCCTGAGCAGAACGTCCTGTGCTGGTTGGTACCATGCTTTTGGCAAGCCCAATGGCACAGTGGGGATCCTGGTGGTATTTAAATCTCTCTGAAATTGTTTGAAAATAATTTTGTGGACTGGCTGTGGATTTGAGACTTGTGAAAATAATGATAATGGTGAACGGGTCCCTCTCATCCGCTTCAGATACCACAGAATTATGTTGGCTCTGTGTGGTACTTGGCTATCAAAACACACTTACCTCTTGTTTCCATTTCTGCTTAAACCACAGCAAGCAGTACTACAGAGTACACTTTTTTCATAGCAGACATTAACTTGTATTGAAATCTCTAGGCCACTCAAATGTTTAAATGGTAGCTTGAGAGGTCTGTCATTTTATTGGGGAAAAAAAAAAAAAAAGTAAAAAAAGTATAAGATTTAATTATTTCTGAATCAGAAGCAAAAGAATTTCAGTAAACACTGTAGTCATCTGATCTGCAAGGGCATCTTGTTTAAAGACTTCATAAGCAGTTCATTATCTATGAATGTGCTATGGGCTATTTTCCAATTAATCTATCAATTTTATTCAGGTCTGCATACTAACAATATAGATCAAAAGAAAATGTATTCCTCTAGCTTCAAGTAGTTTTGCATTGCACTGGTAATTTACTTTGGAGTTGTTTATTTCTTCTTTCTTTTTTCCCTTCTAACCATCCCTGAAACATTAGCCAGATTATGGTGTTGGAGGACTTGTGTTCTCTAATAACCTACTTGCAAGGTGATGCTGAAAAGACTTTTCTCCTCAAAACCAAAAATATTCTCTCTGGTTATAGATAAAAGGAAGTTTGAGGAGCACAAGAGGATAGGGAGAATCTCAAATTTTAACAGCAGTAAAATACAGCACCTCTTTATTGGAAACATTGATCAATAGCAGAAGGGAAAAGTAATCAGCATTATTTGCATTTGCCAGTAGTTTTTCATGAGTAGCCTAGTAGCTCTCTTCTTCTCAACAATGTAGTGTATAGGCTGTAAATCCATACCTTAAGAAAATATTAACCTAGGATGCCAAAACCTGTCGCAGTCCAATCAAAATATAATCAAGAGTACTATTAATTTCTAGTTAAAGCATGGAACTAAAATGTGTCCAGGCAAATAAATAACATACTTATCTACTTTAAAAATTAATGAATTTAAAGTGAAATAATTCTGCACTACTTTGGTAAAGCCCAGCATAAAAATGTCACTGTCATTTGCTCTATTTCTGATTAAGCATCTTGTGTTTCATCATGTTTAAAAATGCTTCCTGTAGTCAGTCTCAGCCATTTTCAGGAATAAGTTTACAGTGTTTTGACACAAACACTTTCTTCGGACTACACCTGTAAAAAAAAAAAAAATCTTGAATTATTCTGATAGTGACCAAAAAAGAAAGTGAAATAAGCAATAGTTGAATGCTATTTTTTCCAAATTAAGAAAATTTCCTCAGAACAGTCATTAGTGTTTCATTTTTTGCCCAGTTAGCTGTTGGATGGGGAGTCTGTCTTGTGCTATAAACACAGAAGCTTTTTATCTTCTCTTAGAAAGCATGGGAAAATGGTTTTCATATCAAATATTGGATATTCAAACTTTGGATGATTTTGCTATGTTTGGGTGAAAGGCTAAAACATCAAAATACCCAAGTAAATAAAACATCCTGCAGTTGCTAAGTGCTGTCTGAATAGAGTAGATGAGCTTTCCCCCTGAAGTTTTTTATTTATCAGCATTCATATAAGCAAACAGGTTTTGTTCAGAAAGAACAGGAAGGAGGAATATCATTGTAAGACCACCATTGTAAGACAACAATATCAATGTTGGAGGAATATCATTGTAAGACCACAAGCATTCATATGAACATGACTATTTTGTGTGTTTCATCGTTTATTATTTGTTACTCATTTCATCTGGCTGCACAAAATAAAAGCTTAATTTTACATAGCACCCTGTGTAAGTAAGTGTCAAAGTCTCAGATGTCAGTATTTAAGACCACTGACAGAAAGAGCCACTGCCAAATCTGTATATTACATATTTCCAGAATTGCCACAAATGGCTGATTTCTTAGTTTATCAGTAAAGCTACTGATCAATAAAGAGGATTCTCATTAAACTACATTTGATTTGTCTTATTAAAAAAAAAAAAAAAAGCATCTAGAATGGGATCCAAACTGAGACTAAGACATCTAAATCTAAATCTACACATCTACATAAAAGCACTCAAATATATACACTCATACTAAATGCTGGGGACACCAACTCAGTACCATCAACCATGTACTGAGAGCATCGAGTTCCTTAATTGACAGGCTGTATGGCAGGTGTCCAGCGTCATCTTACATTACACTCCCCCTACAGAGAGGGATCTGGGGGTTGTGGTTGACAGCAAGCTGAATATGAGCCAGCAGTGTGCCCTGGCAGCCAAGAGGGCCAAGTGTATCCTGCGGTGCATCAAGCATGGCATTGCAAGTCGGTCAAGGGAAGAGCAAGGGAAGAGTGACGGAAGCACTCTACTCTGCGCTGGTGAGGCCTCACCCCGAGTACTGTGTGCAGTTCTGGGCACCACAGTACAAAAAGGATGTGAAACTGTTGGAGAGTGTCCAGAGAAGTGCTACAAAGGGAAGGGAAGGGACTAGAGGGGAAGACATATGAGAAGCGGCTGAGGTCACTTGGCCTGTTCAGCCTGGAAAAGAGGAGGCTGAGAGGAGACCTCATCATGGTCTACAGCTTCCTCACAAGGGTGGGTGGAGGGGCAGGCTATTCTCTTTAGTGACCAGTGATAGGATCTGAGGTAATGGAGTCAAGCTGCAACAGGGGAGGGTCAGGCTGGATATCAGGAAGAGGTTCTTCACTGAGAGGGTTTTCGCACACTGGAATAGGCTCCCCAAGGACATAGCCACAGCACCAAGCCTGTCAGAGTTAAGAAGCATTTGGACTGTTCTGTTCACTTAGTCATATGGTCTGCAATTCTGGGTAGACCTGTGTGGTGGCAGGAGTTGGACTCGATGATCTTTGTGGGTCCCTTCCAACTCAGGATATTCTATGATCTATGATTCTATATGCTGTGAGCTATCTTTGCTATCTTCATTTGCTGCTTCTAAAGTGTGGAGGTCTGCTGTGCCTGTCCTATCTGCCAAGCCTGTCCAGGTCTCCTGAGCATCTCAACCACTAGCAGCCTGTAGACAAGTAAGTCCCATCCCAAGTGACTGCTCTGGGGTGAGATGAACTGTTCTCCAAGCATGAATGACTGCATTGACTGTGACAGGAGTTTCAGCCCCCGGCAAATGCCTACTTGTAGAAACCCTAATTTGAATATCTTCTTTTTCAACTGAATTGCACTGACAAGCTTCCCTTTGTTAAAAAACTTTTATTTATAATATATATATATACCAAATAATAAATATATAATATATATATACAAAACAATATTGTTCCAAGAAACTCTAGGAAAACAAAGTTCTTTATTCCCAAAAATGCAAGGAAAAGAAAAGGTTGTCTTTTCTACACTCTTTCAGGACTCAGAGCATTATAGATTTGTTTTCTTCTGCTGCTTGTGAGGGCTGGAATGAATTTTTTCCCATGTGCAGATGTGATGTACTGAGAAGTACTCTACATCTTTTCAGCTAACAGTTCCCATAGCTGTAAATCAAGTCTGTAAATCCATCATAATCCAGGGAGTGTCAAAAATGGTAGACAAGAGTGTCATTTTAATGTTCTTTTATGCTGTTTGTGACTGTATAAGCAGTTTATGCCCAGAAGAGGAACTTTAATAGGAAAGACTTGAGCTGAGGTTTCATAAGATGAAGCATTCAGGTATTTTAAGATATGCATGGCCTAGAGCTCATTCCCACCTTGTGCTGTGTGTCATTGCTCTTCTGCAGAGCTGGAATAGCTGCTTGTGTGGCTGCACTGTGAAATGAGTCAAGGAGCTTATCCAGCTCAAAAATAAGCCAGTCAATAAAGAAAAGAGGAGGTTTTTTTTATAGCAAAATCAATCCTCATGTCCAGTTTGCAGTGTAGCCACAGGAAGCAAAGTTGGAAAGAGTGCACATGGGTATGAGGACAGGCAAAGGGTCTGGAGAGAGAATGAAAGATGCAAGAATAGGACAAGAATATTTTAAAACAGTGTTGTAATACATGGCTTCGTCATGCAAAACTGCAGTTTGAAGTAACCTCATTTCAGAACAGGTATCTGACAGGTACAATGCTCTAACTGAACTCCACTCTGCAATTTCCATCAGAAAAGGTGCTACCCTCTGAGATAAACCCATTAATGGAGCAAAATCAGATGGGAAATCTATTGCTTTTGTGGAGATTTCTGGATCCCAGATGTCCTGGGAATTGCTGGAGTCACTGGACTAAGTCAGTCAATAGCCTTGCTTCTCTGCAGGAGATAAAAAAACAAAATGCACACATTTTGGTAGATGATCATTCTCCTAGGTAGGGAGTGATATCAAGATCCTGGGAGAAGGCCAGGCTGCATAAGTCCACATCTCCCAGTGTGCCAGCCTGACCACATGCTTTGCCAGGGGCACCTTCAGATCTGGTGTAAGTGTGAAAATACTAAGTGATGGAGGAGCTCCCTTCACTACGCAAGATCTCTCATGGATCTGTCCAGGACACCTGGGTTGTATCACTGGTCTCTGCATGCATGGTGTCAGCTGCTAGGACCTGGCTGTTTGTCATCTAGTTACCCAGATACGTGGCCAAGACCATCTTTCTCAACCTAGAGGACATCTCCAGGCAGTTTTAATTAAAATGAAAACAAATATATATATAAATATATATATTATATGGTTCCTTCCCACCCTGCCAGTAACCCCCACACTTGCTTGCACGGACTTCACAACACAAGAAGTGATGAGACTGTGCCAAGAGCTAAATTGTTTGGAGCCATGAGGGCTCCAGCGTTTGGGTTCACTTGGCCTCGGCTGAGATCCAGGGTGTCACTGGCTGCTGAGGTGGTCACACCTCAAGCTGCAGCCCTTCATTCATTCACACACGTTCTCCTCTGCCAAACTGATGTTGTTGCTTAAGATATATTTGACAGCAGATTTGCTTCCAAAATCATCATCTGTTCCTAATTTCCTAGTCAATTAGAGAGCAGTTCACAGGCGCAGAAGGGAACAATAGACTCTGAGGCGATAACGTTACGACATACTGCACTGTTCAACTACTTGCTTTGCTATCATGGTGTGCATTTAATCTTGCCACGAGCTAGAAGCCTTAATTATGATCTTGCGTCTTCCATTGTTTGAGGCAAATGACTAAGTGGTTTATAAAGACAATTAGATTGGGATCTGTTCTAACTAATCTCTTTCCGAGTATAATATCCTATTAGATACACCAGGTCTTTTTTTCTGGGGCAAGAGGATTTAATTAATTGGCATTGTTCAATCTTCTTTGGTTGTCACCAACCACCTTTACTGCTCCTCCCACACTTAAATGAACAGAGTTAAAGCTACAGGTACTAGGATGACAGAAAGTAGATGAGAATGGTAAGTCCAAGACACTCTTTGGTGAAAATGTATTTATTATCTGGGCAAGATCAAACTGTGTGATGGTTTGTCCTGATCATGAAGGTCTTGTATTTGGGAGAAGGGAGGGTGCCTGGCCATTCATTCATTTCAAACTTGACTTTAGGATCACACAACTTGTTTGTGCACAGGGATATATACATACTCATATATCACACCATCTTTGCACTAAAGTGGTCATTAACCAACCCATTATACTGAGATAGAACAATAACTTTAAAAGCAGAAAAAACTTCTGATTTTTCTCCCTCTTTCATTCCTACAAAGGCATGTTTATCTTCCGTAGCTCACAGCTTAGCACTGCATTTCTTGACCCCTTCGCAGTCTTTGTGGACAATTAGATTTTTGTCACAGCCCCCACTCAGCTACTATTCCAATGATGACCATTAAGACTGTAACCACTGACAAACATATAGTATACGTCTCCATCAACACTCTCTAAAGCAGTTTCTGTGGCTTAACAAAACTAAAGGTCATTACAAAAATAATGACATTAGTAGATAACAATGGGGCCAGCAATTTTATCTCGTCATTTTAATTTGTACTCACACCTAGCACCAAGGGCAAAGTATATGCGATCAGAAGTTAGTATAAGAGACTCTGGAACTATGTTTTTCAAATTAGCAATTCAAAATAAATAATTAATTAAAAAGAAAAAAAGACTTGTTTTCTCCGTATATGAGATAGATACTTACACGTTGCTTACTGATGAGACTTCTAAACATAAAGAGCACACAATGCAGCCACAAAGAAGGGTATCTGTTGGTCCACATTGTTATGTGTCAGGTCTGAATTACCAGCAGCCCTGAAAAAATGTGAGTACTTCAGTCTCAAGAAGATAAAACCAAAATGGAAACATAATAACAGTTTTCAAAGCAATTCAAAAGTACCAGCAAAACAGAAGAGAATTAATTATTCTCCAGATCCCCAACTGATGAAAGGACCAAATGTAACAGGTTTACATCTGAAATTCAGGAAATGGGGCAAGAATAACTTCCTAAGCATAAACGGCCCAGCAATGGAATAGGTCACATGGGGAAATATTGAGCAATTATTGACTGAGAGTTTTTGAGAAGTGTTTAGGTGTATTTCCATCAGAACTGGTTCAAGCATAACATTTCCTGCCAGAAAACATTGGAGGACAATAGAGAAGACAACCCAGGCAGGCAGGGTTCAGTTTCCTATTGTTTCAGCAAGGAGTGGAAGGACAAGTGCAGGTGAAGACGTACCTTGTCAGTAAAACACTCTGAAGGAATCTAGTGTCCATCAAGAGGGCCTGATGGATGTTGATAGGTTTAGTTGGTGCAATCTGGAATAACTATTGCCCCCATGAAACTAACATGTATTTAATGAAGTATGAAAAGAAGTAAAAATCAATTTTTCTTACCATCTACTGAGTCACTAAATGATTGCTTTCCTTTTTAAATTATCTATAATTAGTCTCCCTTATCTATTAATCTAAAAATGACACTTCTGGTTATCCTAGGGTTATTAAGTCTTGATAATGAGAGCTGAAATACTGTCAGCCTAGAAATTTTCAGAAACTGTCTCCAAGATTAGGGTACATATAATTTTCCTAAAACTAGAAAAAAAAATGTCCACAGCATACCATAAGTTATTTTATTACCACGTTAGTTAACATGGTACTGCATGCAGCAAAAGTCCAAACTTTTACTGATACATGACTCTAGAAATACAGTTTTCAAAAATACATATAGCCAGTGAATCTTAAATACTGTAAAAAAACAGTTTAGGTTCTCTTCTGAATCGTACTTAATACCAACCTGGGTCTTAGAATGTATTTACAAAGTTTGACAGTATTCTTAGGGCCCACATAGCCTATTTCCCACATTCAAATATTTTAGGAATAATGTACTTTATTCCCTTTACTTATAGCAGTAAACCTTGGAGACACATACATTTTCAAATTTTGAAGAGTATGTTTGCAAATTAAGAATTAGAAAACTTAGAGTGATCTAAAATAAAATAAAATAACAGTGTCTTGAAATTTGTGACCCACATAAACTTACTTTATGAAGCTTAATGTAGAGATTAAAAGATTTAATAGTCGATTTTAATTTTTAGTTGTGTAACCAAAAATATACTTTAATCTTCAGAAAATAACCATTCCCTTTACAGTACTTTGATCACCTATTTTTATAAATTCCTTTTATAGATGCAGGTGAGCGGCTTCTGAATGAGAATCCTTGAGAATTTCAAAATAACATCATGAAAGACCTCTCCTTGTGATAAGATATGTTTAAGTTACTAGGCTGGATCTCTTGCTCTACCAAATGTTCCAGTGATTTAGAAAGACATTTTGAGTACACAGAGAAGGAAGATTGTTTTCCTAAATATGGGTTTTAAGTAATTCTTTAAAACAATACGGAGTTTGGATACTCTTCCTATTTGATATTTCACCTACTTATTTATGCTTTGCATCACTTTAAGTTGAAACTACAAATATTCTGCAACATATTAAAAATATTCCCAGGAAGTCCACCTTCAAAAATGGCTAGAATTGTACCTAAGGTTGAAGAATATAATTACTGAAAAATTATTTCCTTAGTCCATCAAATGTAGCAAATAGCAGCTGTAAATTAAGAACTTAAGGTTTCTTTATTCATTTTTCACTTTAATTCAGTATTTATATAAACACCTTATGTATATTTTAGTCTTTTGCCCTCAGCGTTATAGAAACTAAGAACTATCTGAAGCTTTAGAATATCTCAGAGATGTTCCATGTGTCCATTGTCTATACCCTTTTTCTCCTTTCAACTTGGAGATTCCTCAGATTAATAGCTAATCCTAGGAAGAAATAATGTTGTTCTTTATTTGAGAATTGACTTGGCTCAAGTTCTACAAGGGCTACCAGTTGGCATAAAACACACCCCAAGCACATACAACACCAGCATCTTTAAATAGCATCCTGTGGAAGTAAAATAAAATGCTATCAAGCTGTATCTAAAAGCAGGAATGTGGTCAATCTTTCTTTCCATGAAGGCTCCTGGTTTTAAGCTTGACCTATCCTCAGTTCAGAAAAGGCAACCACTCTGCTTTCTGAGCCACTGTGGGCTTTCAACATATCAAGAGACTAAAGAAATGCAAGTTATGAGAAGCTACTTCAGCATTTCAGACAAGTTCTGCTCATGATGTTATGTGTCAGCAGGAGTTGAAGAAGAAGAGAAAGAGCATTAGTGTTTTACATACATTTGCTCTGAGTAAGGAGTCTAGAAAAATGCAAAGAGCCTTAATTTCTGAGTTTCTCTTGAAAAACTTTGTGTAAAACTGGCTGATAGAAAACTTCAAGTAACATTATAAATAGTGCTGTCATACAGGTCATAATTTCTGCAAGCTGAAGCATGCCAGCATGGTGTTAGGATTCATATGAAAATAGGTGTAGAGTGCAATTTTTCCCTTCAAGTTTATAGAAAAGGTAATTTGCCTTTTACTTTAGAAAGAAAAATCTTTCAGGCGCTATAATAGACAGAAACAGTTTCCAAAATACAAGCCTTGTAATTTTTCCTTCCAATGATATCTGTCAGGGTACAGCACAAGCCAGCTGGTGGATTCTTAGCTACAAAGAAGCAGAAATGGGGGTATCCTTGGCTGGGGTGTCCCCACAGCACTACATGAGACCCCAAGGTCTCCAAAGGAAGGGGCCATACTACAGACCTCCATGAGGGGGGAATGCACTCGGTCCTGATATTGGATTTCACATTCACCATCCAGCATACTGGGGGAAAATGACAAAAAGACAGACAAAAGGAGTCTTTCAAAAGCATAAAACACCTAATCCAAAACTAAACTTCTGCCTGCCATCCCCTCCCTGGCTGCTCACCAAGGTATTTCCTAGCTACTCACCTGTTAAGCTAAATCTTGTATTCCATCTACCTTTCTTCAAGTGTCATCCGAGTGAGCAGTATCTATATTTTTGGACTGGAAAGGTTTTTAATGAGTTTGTCAGTGTTTTTTTTTTAATAACGGTCTTAGGTCTTGTTCCTAAGGAACTTCACAGAGACCCAGGATCCTGATTTTCTGGGAGAACAGGCACTGCTGTAGAAATACCTAAATAAAGAGTTTATCATACAAGTCACAAATACAGCCATCATGCTTCCTGGTAACCTGAAAGTACAAAGCAACTCTCTGGATCAAGGCAAAATACACCAAGCATGTTAAGGAGGGTGGATAGTATTTTTTAACAGTGTTTGTAGAGGAACCTTCATCAGGGAGCAACAGGGAAAGGAACCATAGCAGATATCCAAACTGCAGCAGCTCGCGTGCACCAGATTCTTATCTGCAAGTTTTATTTCATGCTGAGTATGTTGTGCTCTAGCTTAACCCACTCCTAAAATAGTTGTGTTTTTTTTTTTAAAGCTAGGTTTCAAGAGGTTATACTCCAAGATGATAAAGCATCATAATATTTTGTCAATGTATGACTGAGGTAAATATCAGTGCTCAGAGAACATCTAGTGTTCATCAAAGCATTGAGTTTTGACACAGACAAAGCTCTTTACTCACTTAGTAACTGCTCTACTAGTCTGATTCAATTGCAAATGTCCTGGCAAATAGCATAATGCTGAATGCAGAGAGCTATGAGCCATTCAGTTCTTTGTGGATGGTCCATTTACCACAATAAAGAAATGAGGGTCAATGGGGGACTGCAGGTATTGATTTATTTATTTCATTTTTAATAAAGTTCATTCATTCAGGACCATTAGGCTGCACATCCAATCAACCATAGAATCATATCAATTTCTTACAGTATCCTCCTTTTTTCCTATTGTTTTTAACAAGTTTTTTACATCTTGTTTTACTTTTAACTATAAAACCCTCACAAGGGAATTTCTTCATCTAAGTTCAGATATTACCCATAATAATTAAGTTCCAGTCCTTTCTCAGGTGTTACAGAAGTGCAAATAAGTATAATAACAAGCCAAATTTCTTGCTTCTGTAACTCCATTGACTTAAAAGTGTTCAGCTGCAGATAATGTCAGATAATAATTCCCTTCAATTGTCTGCAGGTAAGACCATGTCCTGGTTTCAGTTAGCACAGAATTAATTTTCTTCCTAGTAGCTGGTGGAATGCTGTGTTTTGGCTTAGGATGAGAAGAGTGCTGATAACACCCCGATGCTTTAATTGTTGCAGAGCAGTGCTTATACTAAGCCAAGGACATCTCAGCCTTTTGCTCTGTCCTGCCAACGGACAGGCTGGGGGTGCAGCAAGAGCTGGGAGGGGACAGACCCAGGACAGGTGACCCAAACTAGCCAAAGGGGTATTCCATACCATCTGACGTCATGCTAAACAATATATAGGGGTGGCTAGCTGGGGGGAGGGGGCCGGACTGCTCGGGGTTAGGCTGGGCATCGGTCAGCGGGTGGTGAGCAATTGCATTGTGCATCACTTGTTTGTACATACTATTACTTTCGTATTATCACCATTGTATCATTATTATTATTATTGTTATTATTATTTTTGTTATTATTATTTTCCTGTCTTATTAAACTGTCTTTATCTCAACTCACGGGCTTCACTCTCCATTTCTCTCCCCCGTCCCAGAGAGGGAGGGGGGAGGGTGAGCGAACGGCTGCGTGGTGTTTAGCTGCCGGCCGGGTTAAACCACGACAGACCACCAGACCAAAAAGGTGCCATAACAGCAGCAGATTCAACAACAGAATATAGAGAACTAAAACTACTGTTATTATATGAGCACAGACAATGATCCATTTTGAACCATCAGATGGTTCTTTGAAAACTGGTCTGGAAGTTTCTGATAATGTTATCTTTTGAGACAATCCAAGCAG